CTTCTGTGTATTTGTTCATCTATGGAGGCTCCCCAACATCTTACTCCTAGTTGTGCTGATCACCCAAGCCATCTGGTTGCAGACATATTCCATAAGGTAACTTTAATTGAATTGATTTTTCCTGACTTCTAAAGTCCTATCTGCGTCCATTGACAAATCAGAAATATTCTTACCTTAACTGATGATGCTAAATCACAGTAACACCCACAAAAAGTCTAGCATCCCACTCACTCCATACAGGTCTCCTGCTTCATGGTCAACATAAGTCTGTGTTTCCAATTTTAACCCAAATTATGCCTGTGATAATATTGTCTGGAGCTTACAGTTGCTGACATGGATATTGACAAAGACTTATCCAGTATTTTAATAAGAAAACAAAATATAGGAAATACTCTAGAGTTTCCAGGTGGATCATTAACAAGACGCCTTGGAGGGCTGAGACTGCCAGCCGGCACGGGGAATGCATCACAGTTCGTCATACAACTTAAACTTCTTTTGACATCTAGTTATGTCGAAATGTGACTGATCACCTAGGGGTCCAGGCTCCTGCGAGGGAAAAGTTCACTGACAGACAGCGAACGAAGCTGATCTTAAATGAGAATCAAGAGAAAGCAGCATTGCAATGTCTGACAGTCTGCAGCTGCTACCTGGGTCTGCTTAACGAAGACGAGACTGCTCTGCTGAACAGTTATATTAGCATCTGTATGCTTCTGTCTCATTATCACACATCTGCCCACCTTTATTCGAATGAAGCTCCTTCTGATCTGACAGCTCAGGCATTGTCAGTGAGCAGATATTATGGAACCAGGGTACAGCGGCTTAGGGTGTTAGCTTTTATTTTCTAAAGACGGTTGCACAGTTTGACAGTATAATACCACAGAGGTAAAGAAGATAATTAACATATTGGGCAGTTTCTAAACAAAGCTGAGACAGTTATGCTGGCAAAACTACTACTACTAGAGCAGCATTGTTTGCGCTTGAGAAACATCAAAGGCTTAAAAGACCTTTTAAAAGAGAGAGCGAGAGCGAAAGCAAACGTACAAGTACCTTTTGGTTTCCCAACATTTCAAATAGAAAGATTTTGGGTTTTTGACCACACTTGACGGGGAAACATTTTGGTCTGCAAGAAAAACCTGTCACGTCGGTTGAAAATCTCAGCCTGTTCGGTTTGACTCTTAAAATATCTCCCAGTATTTGAGAAGAAGCTGAAGGGTATGATTTTTTTCCCCTTCTTCCTTGAATTTATTTCTACCCCTCAGTACAAAAGTAAGGACTTGTGTGAGCTTCACAGAACTCTTATTTGGATGGAGATTTACACTTCCTAAGCTGGAGATCACATATGGGATTTTCAGGATATGCCAAAAAATCATATGAGAGAGGTTTCATCATTTGTCTGCTCAGTAAGAAACTAAAATGGCTTTCTTTAAAAAACCAAACCAAACCAGAAAATAGTATTTTGAGCCCACAATGTACATGGACTGAGCTGTGATGACTGAATAAGGGGACGTTCAGATTCTTCTCTGCATCTCTCAGAAAAGAAAAACAGTACAGCAGTATATGACTGTGATTTAACTTTAATCAGGTGCTTCCAGTACATACATGCTCTGCTGTGGTGGACTTGAATGGCAACTTTGAATAACGCTTCACAACTGTTTTTTTTATATATATATGAAGTGATTTAGCAAATACGGCCCTTTGATGCTATCCTGCTACTTTAAATCACTAGGAATGCCAGCATATCTCTATGGCATGTTCCAACAACACATCCTTGAAAACCCTGAGTATGGGAGCTCTAATTCATGCTTTAAATGGCATAAATAATAGCCCAGATTCTCCTGTCTGCATACAATGTCATAATCTAAGGGCCAGATCCTCAGCAGGTGTAAATCAGTATAGCTTTATTGAAGCCAAAATATTATTTCCTGACTTCAGTGGAGCTCTGCCAGTTTATACCGTCTGAGGCTCTAGTTCCAGCAGTTTAAAGCAATTTAAGGACTTTCCTCATTTCATTCAGGGCTTTCATTCCACTGTTATTTTCTTTGTCCTTGAGAAAGCCCAGGGTTTCCATGGGTTAATGGAGAAATTACTGCTATTTTGCAACAATGCAATCAAAGTCATTTCAGCATCCACACTGATAAAGTAAGAATAGCTTATTCAGATTGGACTGGCAGGCCTGAACTCACAATTGCAAAGTTTGAATACAAAATAAGATATTCATTAAAAATAAAAAAAAGGAAAGAAAGAAAGACAGAATCCGTTGTCATTCATTCTAAAAAGGCATTACAGACGGCCAACACTGTACAGAAAAATAGAAGATGTTGACCTTTTTATTATAGACTTTTCTGTACTGCTGCCCTCCTTTCAAATGCACATTCCTCCCCCACCCCCCACACATACACATACACACACACACACGCACTCACTTCAGCTGTATGTTATCTCAAATAATTACCCTGCGCTTCTGGCTGTCCCTAGTGACTTCTGCTGCTAAAAAAGCTACTCATTGTCGGTGAGTGAAGAGGGATTTCAAACCTGCTTCTTGTGGCCCAGCAACAGCTCTTAATTAACCACTCAGGTATTGAGAAGCCGCCTAACCCAGCTCCTATCCATATGGCAGGAACATGTTGGCAGTGATAATCACTGAAGGAAATATTGTATCAAAAAAAGGGCTCACAGAACAGAAAGCTTGTGCAAATTATTTTTAATGATTCTCCTCTGGTGAGCTGGATTATTTGTTATTTCAAGCAGAGGTAGGGCGGGGGTGGGGAGCAGAATGTATTTGTCCTTGACCTCTTTCTCCCCTGCACACTTGCCCCTTTGCCCAGTTTTCCCAACCGTAAACCTGATCCTTAGCATTGACATAAAGAGAGTGCCCGGGGTACCATAGAAGGCCCTTCAGGCATTCTAAAAAGCTTTAGTCCTTATGATTTTGATAATCCTTTGTTTCTGGTATGTGACTTGCTTTTCATACGCACTGGACGTACACATTTCCTGCGAGCAAAGCATTTTAAATAACTTCAGTAGTGTTCTGTTGGCAGTTTATACACACACACACACACACACTCACTCACACACACTTTTTATTTCACCCTTGGTTTATAAAAAAAAATACAGATTTGAGCTTATAAATCTAATTAAAAATGAAGTTGCATTTACATTTTAAAACCTTGCGTACGCCAGCATACTGTGTCAAAAGACATTATGTATGATTTTACTTTGTGACAGAAACCATTACATTTAAAAATTCATTACAGCAAGGTTAGTTAGACACATGATGGATGCAGCTTTAATCCTGCCATATATTATTACAGTTAAAATGTAAATGATGAAAAATATTTTGTGCTTATCAGCATTTATGTGGAAATGTGTTTTACAGTGATATATGGTGTTATATTTCTATTATTATGATGAGAAGAAAGAATGAAGCACAAAAAGATGAAGTGTTTATTAAAACATGGTTACTTGTGATAAAATATTCTTGTTGTACATGACTTTAAACATATTTACCGAGGGCATTTGTCCAAAACAACTGTGAAATGTGTTTGCTAGGCAAATCATTCTTTGTAATGTTTCTCCCTCTGTTATATTGATTACAGCTTTTTTTAATAGTCTAATATTAATTTAAAGTCGTGTAAATAATTTTGGACTGATATTTTGTTTTAGACTTTGTTTACACAGGGGTATCTGTGTTTGCATATGTCTGCTGTATGCTGGTAATGTACTTTGCAATTTACAGCACCTCTCGGAGGATCTCAAAGCACAATGCAAACACTAACGTATTAAGGCTCAGTGCTACAAGGGCACTTGGGCTTTGATCCAGCAAAGCACTTAAACCTGTGCTGAACTTTAAGTGCATTCCACTGACTCCACAGTGCTTCAGCACCCCGCAGGACAGAGCCGTTAAACCTCACAACACTCTTTTAAACTAAGTATTCCCGGGCTCAGTTCACTCCCACTTGCAGAGGCAGGTATAATCTATGCCTCCCTCCACTGGTAGGTGCTGCTGCATTCCAGGGCCGATTCAAGGCAAAGTAGCTGTCCTGCCTCTGTGAAAGGGCAGCTTGAAGCTGCAGTTGGGGCATCATAAGCGTCCTAGCAATTCTCCCATGCTGCTCCCTAGCCAGTAGCTCCCAGCTTGAGTGCAACAAGTTGCGGGGGAGGGGTGCGTGGCAACGGTAAATGATTATAACCCCCTAGTGGAGCAGATTTTATGGATAATTGGCACCACTACACCATCCTTTTAGGTAGACTTTCTGCCCTTCAAGGTCCTGGGTTAGGTAGCACAGTAACCCTGTGCTGAACTTTAGCTCCAGAGCATAGACAATGGCGTAACATTCCTTTTCACTGATTGACCAGTGGCTTTCCCTCTCAGACAGCTTCTTGCTGAGAAACATGACAGGATGGAACTCCTGATTCGGACCTTCCTGCATTAAGACTACTCCCATGCCACGCTCGGACGCATCTGTGGTTACTAGGAATGGCTTGTCAAAGTCTGGGACCCTTAGCACAGGGTCAGACATGAGTGTCGCTTTAAGCTGGTTAAAGACCTTCTGACACTCTTCAGTCCACTGAACTGCATTTGGATGTTTCTTTTTGGTTAGGTTTGTCAGTGAGGCAGCGATCTGGCTGTATTGCGGTACAAATCACCTGTAATATCCGGCCAAGCCTAAGAAGGATTGGACCTGTTTCTTTGCCTTTGGGACAGGCCACTTTTCGATAGCATCCACTTTGGCCTGTAGGGGGTTGATAGTTGCTTGACACACCTGGTGTCCAAGGTAAGTCACTCTGTTTAGGCCTATTTGACACTTCTTAGCCTTAACAGTTAGTCCTGCCTCCCTTATGCTCTCAAAGCCTTTTTGTAGCTGTTCCAGGTGTTCTGCCCAGGAATCTGAAAATGCGGCCACATCATCAAGGTAGGCGACTGCATATTCTCCTAATCCAGCTAGGAAACCATCTACAAGTCTTTGGAAGGTGGCGGGTGCATTCCGCAGCCCGAAAGGGAGCACATTAAATTTATTCAGCCCGACATGTGTGGCGAAGGCTGACTTTTCCTTGGAGGATTCATCTGGCGGTACCTTGGTTAAGTCCAAGGTAGAGATGAACTGGGCCCATCCCAGTTTCTCCAATAGTTCATCTGTGCATGGCATTGAATAGTTGTCTGGGCGAGTTATAGCATTTAGCTTATAGTAGTCCAGGCAAAAACGTATCTCCCCATCTGGTTTGGGAACTAGAACCACTGGAGGGGGCGGATTACACCCATCTGTAGCATATTCTGGATTTCCCGTTCTATAGCAGTTTTAGCTTGAGGAGACACCAAACTGACAAACCTTTAATTCTCTGGAATAAAAGGGCTTTAGAGAATTAATATGGTACACCTTAGGCTTTTGGTTGGAGGTGGGGAATGCTATGAGATAATTAACCGCTCCCAGGCACTCTTGGACTGTGAATGGCCCTTCCCACGATGCTTCCATTTTATGGGCCTTGAGTGCCTTTAAGACCATGACCTGGTCCCTTACTTTGAAGGAACGCTCTCTGGCATGTTTATCATACCAGGCTTTTTGCTCTTTTTCAGCATCTTTTAGGTTTTCTTTAGCAAGGGCTAAAGAGGTTCGGAGGGTGCTTTGTAGGTTGGTTACAAAGTCCAGAATGTTAGTTCCTGGAGAAGGTGTAAACCCCTCCCATTGCTGCTTCACCAACTGTAATGGCCCCTTAACCTCGCGGCCATATACAAGTTCAAATGGTGAAAACCCTAAACTGGGATGTGGTACAGCTCTGTAGGCAGAAAGCAACTGCTGCAACACCAGGTCCCAATCATTGGAGTGCTCATTTACAAATTTACATATCATGGCCCCCAGAGTTCCAATAAACTTCTCCACCATGCCATTTGTTTGATGGTGGTAAGGGGTGGCAACCAAGTGATTTACCCCATGAGCTTCCCAAAGGCTTTCCTTAGTTCCTGCATCTGTAAGGATGTCAGAGGACCAACCTACCCTGGCAAAAATGTCTGTTAGTGCCTGGCACACACTTTTAGCCCTGGTGTTGCTTAGAGCTACTGCTTCCGGCCATCGAGTGGCAAAATCCATGAAAGTCAGTATGTACTGCTTTCCTCTGGGTGTCTTTTTCGGAATAGGACTCTGAATATCCACAGCTACTCGTTGAAATGGAACCTCAATGATGGGGAGTGGCTGGAGAGGGGCTTTGACCTGGTCTTGGGGTTTTCTCACTCTTTGGCATAGCTCACAAGATCAGACATAGGCAGAAACATCCTTGCCCATTCCCTCCCAGTGGAATGACTTCCCCAAATGGTCTTTGGTCCTGTTCACTCCAGCATGGCCACTAGGATGGTCATGGGCTAAGCTCAAGAGCTTTTCCTAGTACTTAGTTGGAACTACCAACTGTTTCTGAGGATGCCAGTTTTCCTGGTGCCCACCAGAAAGAGTTTCCTTGTATAAAAGTCCTCTTTCTACAACAAACTGGGATCGATTAGAAGAGTTGAGAGGCGGTGGGTTGCTCCGTGCCTCCATCCAAGATCTCTGGAGGCTTTCATCTGCTTCCTGTTCGGCCTTGAACTGTTCCCTTGATCCTGGAGACACCAGTTCCTCACTGGATTGTGGACCTGATGATGGTCCCTGTGGAAGCGATGCAGGTGATGAGGCTATTTCTGTTGATGGTGAACCGCTCTCGGCTGGTGCACTATGGGGTATTTCAGGCTCTGGCTGAGCCTTTTATGTAGGGTCATCTGCTGCTGCTGCCAGTGTAGGCTCGGTGGTGCCCTCTGGTGTTGGAGCTGTAGACGGGGTTGCAAGCGCTGGACTCAATGCTGGCAATGGTTCTGGTGCTGGTTGCTTTGCCAGTTTCAGTTCGGGGATTGGCTTTGGCTGGGTCTCTGGATCCACTACGGCAGCTGCAGTCATTGGCAGGGGATCCAGTTCCACCACCTCCATCTGGGTCTCTGGTAACACAGACGGGGCCCTGGTGGAAGGTTCAGGAACAGGGATAGGTGTGGAAGCTTGCTTAGTCTGGCTGCAGATGACCATTCCCACCCTCTTGGCCAGCTTTACCTGGTTGGCCAAGTCTTCCCCCAGCAACATGGGGATGGGATAATCATCATAGATGGCAAAAGTCCACATTCCTGACCAGCCCTTGTACTGGACCGGCAACTTGGCTGTAGGCAAATCGAAAGAGTTGGACTTGAAGGTTTGAACCGTCACTTGGGCCATGGGGTTGATTAAGTTGGGGTCCACTAAGGATTGATGGATAGCTGACACCTGCGCTCCAGTGTCCCTCCATGTTGTAACCTTCTTCCCGCCCACACTCACGGTTTCCCTTCATTCTAAGGGTATCTGGGAGGCATCTGGGCCTGAGGACCTTTGGTGTGACCCCAGTGCAATGAACTGTAATCTGTTGGGGTTCTTGGGGCAGTTGGCCTTCACATACCCCAGCTCATTACATTTAAAGCAGTGCCCAGTTGACTGGTCACTTGGGCCAGGTGGGTTGCTGGAGAATGGTGTGGTGGGATGATAAGGTGTCTGGGGTTTTCCTAGGGATGTAGGTGGGGCCTTGGGTTGCCCCCAGTGATAGGGTTTTGTTTCAGGTCGCCCCTTCTGATATTCGCTCCAACTGCTACTAGTTTTTTTTTTTTCTGCCACCTCCACCCGTTTGGCTCCAATCTCCCCCGCCTCGATTACAGTTTTGGGCTTCCCATCTAGGATGTACCTTTCTATTTCCTCAGGAACACTCCATTTGCATTAGGAAGGGCAACTCTTCTGGAGATTTAACACTTGCTCCTGATATCCAGGCATCCCAATGTTTCACAATGTGGCAGGCATGTCGGGTAAATGACATGTCTGGTTTCCACCTTAGGGCTCTGAACCGCCAATGGGAATGCTCAGGTGTTAGCCCCATTCTGACTCTCGCCTGGGTTTTAAAAAGTTCATAACTGTTCATGTGTTCCTTAGGCATTTCAGCCGCAACCTCTGCTAAGGGTCCACTGAGCTGCGGCCTCAGTTCTACCATTACTGGTCTGTAGAGAGGCTGTACCCAAGGCAGGCCCTTTCAAAGTTTTCAAAGAAGGCCTCGGTATCATCGCCTGCTTTGTAGGTGGGGAACTTTCTGGGATGGGAAGTGGTACCTGGAGAAGGATTGCTAGGGTTGGTTGTTATATTCTGCTGAGCCCTTGCCTTCTCCATCTCCAGTGCATGCTTCCTCTCTTTTTCTTTCTCCTTCATAGCTCTCCTGTGGGCAGCTTCCTCTGCCTCCACCCTGGCTTTTTCTGCCTCCATCTCCAAGCGCCTTAAGGCCACCTGTCTATCATGCTCTTTTTGTTTCTCTTCAGCTTCGAATCTGGCTAGCTCTAGTTTATTAGCTGCTTCACTTGTAGTCATTTTCCTGCTTTCTTGTGCTTTACTCTAGCTATACCGAGAGTTAAGGGGAAAAAAAAACAAAAACTTGTGAATTTCCCTGCAGGAGGTTAACTACCCTGCCTTTCGGTAGAGAAAACTCCAGCTCAAAAAAGAAAAATCCCTTTGTAAAAAAACTAACATCTCTGTCTCCAGGCAAATAGACAGAAAACCGTCTAGCTGCTCTCAGCTTTAAAAAAAAAAAAACCCTCTTCAGGTCTGTGCTTTTGGTTCAAAATGATCTCTGGTTCAAAATGATCCCACCGCTCTGCCACCATGTCAGATTTCCTTCCCCACTCTGAACTCTAGGGTACAGATGTGGGGACCCACATGAAAGACCCCTAAGCTTATTCTTACCAGCTTAGGTTAAAAACTTCCCCAAGGTACAAACTTTGTCTTGTCCTTGAACTGTATGCTGCCACCACCAAGCGTTTTAAACAAAGAACAGGGCAGAGACCACTTGGAGACGTCTTCCCCCAAAATATCCCCCCAAGCCCTACACACCCCCTTTCCTGGGGAGGCTTGAGAATAATATCCTAATCGATTGGTTACAAAATCATCAAAGACCCATACCCCTGGAACAATGGAAAAATCAGTCAGGTTCTTAAAAGAAGAATTTTATTTAAAAAAAAAAAAAGAAAGGTAAAAATCATCTCTGTAAAATCAGGATGGAAAATACTTTACAGGGTATTCAGATTCAAAACCCAGAGGATCCCCCTCTGGGCAAAACCTTAAAGTTACAGAAAACAGGAATAAACCTCCCTCTTAACACAGGGAAAATTCACATAAAACAAAAGATAAACTAATCCGCCTTGCCTGGCTTACCTATACTGGTTGGAATACTGGAGACTTGGATTAGGATGGGTTGGAGAAGATGGATTTCGGTCTGGCCTCTCTCAGTCCCAAGCAAGAACAACCACGTAAACAAAGAGCACAAAACAAAAGCCTTCCTTCCCCCAAGATTTGAAAGTATCTTGTCTCCTTATTGGTCCTTTGGGTCAGGTGCCAGCCAGGTTAGCTGAGCTTCTTAACCCTTCACAGGTAACAGGATGGGTTGCCTCTGGCCAGGAGGGATTTTATAGCACTGTATACAGAAAGATGGTTACCCTTCCCTTTATATTTATGACAATATCTATTTCTACTCATCCCTCTTCCCCCAGCATCTATTTTCAGTAGCTGTGATATTTACTGTGATATTTAACTTGCATCATTTCACAGCTCCTCCACACTGATACTAAGTATACAATGACTTAAGTCATTTTGGAAGGTTTCTTTTGTTCTAAGAGGTTGGTTTGTTACTTTTGATTAAGCCTCTAGTTTAAGAAAACAAAATCCCACAAGCATTTCCCATAGTCCCATTGCATTACCCC